TTTCTTTCCATTTTAGATAATTCATTGTGTCTGTGTTTGTGAGGGGGGCTTGGGGGTACATGACATGATGTGTGGAAGACAGAAGACAGGTTTGTTCTCTCCTTCCTCCTGTCCAGGAGTCTCAGGATTGAACTCAGGTTACCAGCTTTTGCCTAGTAAGCCTCTTTACCTACTCAGCTAATTTGCCAGCCCCTCTGCTACATTCTTTCTAATTCTTCAAGAATTTATCCCAGTGAAAAATGTGAGGTAAGGATCCCATTTTATTATTGTCATTTGTGCTGCCGGGTTTTAAATCCAGAACCTTGTGCATGTACGATTCTCCCACCATTACTGTCTAGCCCTTTCTATCTTTCCTTTTTCTCTTTCTTTGTTCTTTTATTTTCAAAGCAGAGTTTCATGTGGTTTGGACTGGGCTCAAACTCACTGCAGAGCTGAGGATGACCTTGAACTCCTGACCCTCTTGGTTCTGCCTTGAAAGTGCTAGAACCACAGGTGTGTGCCACACACATCTGGCCTCCCCTGTTATTTCTTTAAAGCCAACAATAATTAGAGTCAGAAAATTTAAATCCATATTGGACAAAGGAAGCTGGGAAATTTCTGGAAGGGGGTAAGAAAACAGAGCAAAAGAGTTGCTCTCACCAGAAATGAAACCATAGTCGGCATTTATATAAATAACATGGCCCTGGGTACATCAGAGACTGGAGGAAAAATAAAACAAACGGGGGTAGAGCAAGGGAGGGAGAAACATGGGGGGGGGTCAGGGGATGTGACTCAGCGGCATGTGCTAAGCATGTACAAGGCTCTGGGTTGGATCCCCAGTTCCGGAGGGTCATGGGGAGGGTACAGGATAATCAATGTATCGTTAGGTAAGTATAAATGCATAAGTGAAGGTTATCATCTTAATCATGGTCAGTGTATCAAAGAATACACTTCCCTTTTCCATCAGTCTGGGTCACCTGTCAGAGACCCCACCCTAGAAGAAGAATTCCACATCTTCTTCTGGTCCCTTAGAGAGTAGTAAATATGACCTGTTCAAATTTCGGAGTCTGTTTCCTTAATTACTCCTGATATACTGGACTTCCCTGTCTCTCAGCACACAGCAGGGAAGCTATGGTGATCAAGTCTGATTTCATCCGTTATACAGTCATGTGTTGTTGATCCCAGGGACACCTTCTGACCAATGTGTTGCGGCCGTGTGAACACCACAGAGCCGACTATAGACGGCAGAGTCAGCTGCACACCTAGGCTTCAGGACAGAGGCTGCAGCTGCTAGCCTGCAATCTGAGCAGCTTGCTTGTCCTCCATCACATACTTTAAGTGATTGTAAGAATAATGTTTGTATATCGAAACATCTAAGCCCAGAAAAGTAAAACTATTGTAGAAAACAGCTTACACGGCATATGAAACAGTGAGAGAAAATACTGCAGGAAAGATGGGAGGTGGAAGCTGGTTGTGGCCGCTCCTGCCCATTAGTGTCAGCACCGAGAGGCAGACAGGAAGACCAAGTGTGAGAGGCCATGTCGAGTGCATAGTGGTTTGAGGGTCACTCGGCCGTCTCAAAACAAACAAACACAAATACAAACGCTGTAACCGTATAGGACTCTTACCGAGACCAGAACACGCATGTCTGAGAGTTGCCCTGGGGTAATCAGTAACAGGCAATAGCGTGGAGACCACCGACACACACTATTGTGCACTCACTCTATACACACTTGGACACACACACAATTGGACTAGATGTCATTTATTTTAAGCAGTTTCTTTCTTAAGTAATAAATTAGCTTCTACAATATACTGGCTTTTTATAACATTAATTTTTTTTTAACTTTTTTTTTTTCCCCAACTGTGTAACCCAGGCTGTCCTCAGACTCAGTGTGTGTAGCCAAGAATGACTCTGAGGTTCACCTCGAAAGTGCTGGGATTACCAGCATGGACCATTATGCCTGCTTCTTAAAAAAAAAAAATCAACAACAAAACAAAACCCTTTTTAACCTTTGCAGTAAGATCTAGATATTTAAAAATATTGTCTTTGTGTGCTTAATCTGTGAGGTCATTTTTGTTTGTTGCTTGGTGGTTGTTGTTTTGTTTCATTTTGGGATAGACTCGTATAGACCAGGCCTTGTAACTTGCTTTGTAGCTGAAGATGACCTTGAATGTCTGATTCTCCTGCCTCTGCCTCCTGAGTGCTGGGATTACAGGTGTGCACCAGGCTTCTGTAGAGCTGAGGATCACAGCTAGGGCCTGCTCAGGCTAGGTAAGCACTCTGCCTATATCACCAGCCCTTCTGTTTTAATTTACTTTAAAAAAACATTTGGGGTTGGAGAGATGGCTCAGTGGTTAAGAGCACTGACTGCTCTTCCAGTACCCACATAGCCACTCACATGTAATTCCAGCTCCAGGGGACCTGATACCCATGGCAAAACACCAATGCACATAAAACAAAACAAAACAAACAAACAAAAACATTTTTTGTTATTGTTTTGTTATTGTTCAAAGCCAAATTCCAAAATACATTAGCCTACACATTAGCCTACACCGGATCAAGTTCAACATTATTTGAGCCAGGTGTAGTGGCGTACATCTGTAATACAAGTACACAGAAGGCTGAGAAAGGGAGATTGCTTCAAGCTGTAGGTCAGCTACTCGCTGAGTTCAAGGCCAGCCTAAGATCCACTGAATTTTAGTATGTTTGCCTACCATACACAAAGCTCTGGCTTCTATCTGGGTACTAAAAAGTATAATTGATATGACATCTTTTGCCTCCAGCTTTTTATCTGGACTTCCTGGAAGGTGGTTAAGGGTAGTGACATGCCTAAAACAGTTGTCTGTCGTGATGGCAATAATGCATTTGGAAGGACTAACTTGAGACTCTTTTTACAATTAACTTTCACACATATCTAAGTAGGAGTACACCCTAAGATGAGAGCAGAAAGCATGCTTCATTGCTGTGATAAACGCACGAGTCAGTAACAATCATTTAGTACTATTGGGTACTGTACATAACTGCATGGCAGTGCATTTGCACACTTGGCTCGTTTACACCAGCAGCACCACAAATGTGAGTAATGCACACTGCTATGATGTTAGAACAGCTGCGACATTAACACGCAGTACTTTTTCTGCTCCATTCCTGTCCTCTGGGGCCACTGTCAGCAGTAACATATCCCAGTAATTTGGCTCAAACCTAACACTGTTGAAGGATTAAACGGTAGGTGTTGATTCACCAGTAGAGTTCTTTTGTGTGTATACATGTGTCCTGTGTGCACACATCCATGCATGCCCATGTGGAGGTCAGAGGTCATCAGTGACACCTGTTATTAACTGTCATCTCAATGAATCTGGGACTCACTATGTTAGCTAGCATGGATGCCACTGTGACCCAAGAATCTACTTTTCTCTATCCAGTCACCAGCTAAGGGATTAAAAATTTGCACTACCGATGCTGGCTTTTAAAACAGGTTCTAGGAATCCAAATTCAGGTCCTCATGCCTGTGAAGCAGGCACTTAACCCACCAAACATCACCCTCCCTGCCAAGCCCTGGATGCTGGTAGATTTCTACTTAGTGGTTCCAGAGCCTGAGTTTAAGGCCTCTCTTTAACTGAAAAGTTACGGTGAGTGTAGTAGCACACACCTACGGGCCCACCGAGTCAGTAGATTAAAGTCAGAGATCCATTGAGCCCAGGAGTTCAAAGCCAGCAAGACTTCATCTAGGAGGTGGAGGGGGGGAACAAAACACTTTTTAAAATTATTTTTTTCTTTTTGGCCTGGACCTCATAGAGATCCACATGCCTCGGCCTGGTGAGTACTAGGATTAAAGTTGTGTGCCACTATGTCCAATGGGGTATTATTGATGGCCACTTTTGTTTGTACCCTTGTGTGTATGTTTGAGGGGCACGTGCAACCCAGGGTGACCTTAAATCCTCTATGTAGGCAAGGCTGGCCTTGAACTCCCGATCCTCTGGCCTCTGCCTCCTAAGTGTTCAGATTACAAGTGTGCTCCAGCATGCCAAGCTCAAACTTCAAAACCAGTTTGCACACTCATTTGCTGTCTGAATCTGATCTATAACACCCCATCGAAGAACATCCAGTGTTTGATTCTCACTCCAGATAAGGACCTGTTTCCTGAGACTAGATACTCCTTACACCTTAAAGTCCCTCCTTATGTTGGCACATTTTTCCTTATGGATTGCCCACTCTGATTAGGCGGGTCCTCCGAAAGGCAGAAGTGGCCAGTGCACCTCTGACAGAGTCAATAAATACAGCCTAGAGAAAAGCTCAGGGAGGTTGGTTTATGATGGGGGTCATAGACTTGGGAGTCTAGGAGAATGAAACGATTTGTCTGGCCAGTCCAGAATGGGGTAGCTAAAAACTAAAAGCAAGGTACACTGGTTTAGGATCTGTGGAGAGGCCAGGGCTGGGCATCTGGCTAAAACAGCGTGAAGAAGACACAGGGAAAAAAAATTTTTTTTCAAGGAAAAAAAAAGGGGAAGGAAGAAAAGCAAAGAAAAAAAAATAAATAAAAGGTATGTGTATGCTGGCTTCATTAATAGAAAAGTCTGATGTGGGACTACTTTTTATTATTATAAATGTTTAAAAGCTTCACTGCAAAGAGAAACATAGTTGGAGCCTAATTTTAAAAGGTCATCACTTGTATTAGATTTGTGCTACCAAACAAATCGTCCTAAATTTTCAGACCCAGAAATCAAAGGGACTTTATATCCCCTATCTCATCCTTGCTCAAAAACACAAAATAAGAGTTTGTTGGGTTTTTTGTTTGTTTGTTTGTTTTTTCTTTAAGGTTAAAAAAAAAGAAAGAAAAAAAAAGGAAATGGCACCGGCTGCCTTTATCATGATGGATTTTGACTTTCTCACGCCTGGAAATCACACTCTCTTTGCCCCAAATACAGTCTACAGACACACCTCGTATTTGGTTTATTTCCTTAATGGGGAAATACTCATTTCCAGGATACCTACCCGCTCCCACCCTCTCCAAATCTACCTTTCCAAGGCAGGGGAAGGTGAATCCTCGTCGGGTTCCCGCCTGTGCCTTCCTAGTACCTCTGGCCAGCAGCCCCGCGCTCCCTGGACATCCATGAATGTTTGATGCTACATCTCTACCCCAGCCGAAGCTTCCCGCCTGCACTCTGTCAACGGCATTTGCAGAGGGGAGGGGGGGAACTTTTGGAACAGAAAGCTCCACCCATCCTGCTCCCTACCGCCTTCAACCAAACCAGCTAAAGCACCCCACCTCAGGCTACCCAAGAAAGTCTCATCACATGATCGACGGTACTGTAATTTTTTTTTTTTAAACAAGAAAACAAGCAACCAAAAAAAAAAAAAAAAAAAATTCAAACTGCTTGCGCGGGCCAATGGGGAATCAAGGGAAGGTGGGCGGGGGAAGCGCGGCGGGCTGGGCGGAGACCCGCGGACCTGGGGACCGAAGGATTCGTAAAATGCAGCGATCGCACGGTTTGGGTTTTTTTTTTTTTTTTCTTCCAAAACTAAGTTAAGACCGAGGCTCCGCCTGCAGTTGCAGCCTCTCAGATCCACCTTAAATCTTCAGTGGACTCGGTGCAGGGATCAGTGGGCGCAGCCAATGCCAATCAAGTTTACAACCACCAGCCCAGGACCCGGGGTTGGGGGGTGGGGGAGGGATGGTGGGGGCGGTGGACGGGGACTAGAGTGAGGGAAAGAGGCGGGAGGGGGGAGGGAGAGAGAGATCTTCAGTTTATTCCTCCGCATGCACACATGACACACGCATACTGGCAAATACACGTACGCACGCACATGCACACGCACATGCACACGCACACAAAGGGAAGGAGGGGGCGAGAGACCGGTGCTCCCCGGCCGGGGTACATGTTTTGCAAACCCTTCAATCGAAGCTCACTGGCCACGGCCTGGACGCTCCGGGACGCGGGAAGCGCGGCCAGACCCGAGCGCCATGATGGTGGCTGCGGTTCGCAGCCCGTGTTCTGGAGGGGGAGCTACAAATGATGCAATTCCCCGGCCGGCGCCCGAACCGCGCTCCCTTCTCCTGGCCTTTCTCTTAACGTTCTTTTTAGAGGCGCGTCGAGGTTTCTCGCCCAAAACATGGATAAGGGTTTTATTTTATCTTTTTATTGTTAAGATTTTCTGTTTTCTAGTTCCTGTCTCTGCCCTGAGTACCCACGCATGACAAGCCTGGGACTTGGATGGAGGCCTGAGGGACTTGAGACTTGAGAGTTTACGTGGAAATAAGTACACTTTCGGTTCTCCGAGATCCGTCTGTGGAGGACCCCACCCTTTCCCAACCCCACGCGAGTGAAATGAGGGGGGAGGCGACCCCATAGTTTTCTAAGCAGGCCCCTTTCTCCCTCAAAGTCGTTAGCAAGATTTTTTTTTTTTTTTTTTTTTTTTTTTTTTTTTTTGGGCCAGGAAGAAGGGGGTGACAGGCATAGGGTGTGGCCCAGGTGAAAGATGGCAAATGAGAAAGAATCCGTACTTTGAAAAACAGGTCAGGGATCCTAAATGAACTAAACAAAACACCTTTTAGTCTAAAGTGCTAGAAGAGCAATCGGTGTCTTCTGGCGATGATGGTGCAATGGCGAAGGCAGAGTTCCCTGGCTCCTGGGAAAGGTCGTTCGGTGCGGCCAGGGCGGTGGGCACACATGCAGTGGCCTGGAAGGCCGACTACCTGCGCCCTCCCGCTGATGAATGTCCACGGCCCCCCAATCTAACCCATCACGCCCCCCACGCCCCAAATCCAATCCACATTTCCCCCAGTTCTTCCCTGCCCGGGTCTGCGGCTCTAGACAGACAAGGATTCAATGGTGGGGGACACTGTGCATCGCAGGGGCGATCCCCGAAAGTGGCAGTGGCAATCCACAGTTCCGCGCGCTTCGGTGACGGTCCCTTAGCCGCCGGCGAGCCGGGAAGGCTTTCGAAATGCGCGGGGCTGCGGATCATTGGAGCCCTGCGGGAGGGGTGGGAGCGGGCTGCCGCCCTGGAGGGTCCACGAACTCGGGGAAATTGGTCCCTTCGGGCAAGTGCCCTAGAGCTCTGGGGACAGCGGGGTGTCCTCTGGGAAGGACCGCGGGCCTTCCATAGCGATTTTCTTCGTCCGCAGGATCGATGGAGAAGGAGAAAGGTTTTTGTAAAGTAACCCTGCCCGGCTGCACGGACAGAGGCGCGGCCGCTGTCTGCGGCCTGCGAGCGCCCAGGGCGCGGGAACTGCGCGCAGCGACCCTGGCAGTGCGGGACTTGCAAGACGCCGGCTACATAGAGACTTTGGTCCACAGGCCCCAGCCAGCCCGACTACGGAATTGCCACAGCGACCGGGTGCCATCGGGGCTGCGGGACAGTTGGGGAGACTACCGCGTCGTGGCTGGAGCAGTGGGGTAGAAGGTGTCTGATGCCTGCGGCCGCAAACCCGCAAAGGAACGTTCGTGGAGGACACAAGAGTTCAGGTCCTGGGAAGAAGGACCATTTAAACCATCAGATTATATGTGGAGGCTTGACACAGACGTTCGGAGGATGGAGGACACAGTGACCTGGGCTGGGGTGGGGTTGAGGGGGTGCGTTCCTGTGGACTTGCCTGACCAGGAGCATCCACCTCTTCCCGGCCCAGCATTCCTAAAATGTAATCTCTCAAAATACACATTTTTAAAAGAAAAAAAAAAAGCTTTATGAAAGGAAAATGAGGTCTGTGCAGCAATAGAGAGGTGTGTTTTCACATTTTTAAATAGATTTTCTGACTCTTGGTCCTCCTACAAGTCACCCTTTAAATGTTTTAAACAGAACTACAAAAACACCTTTAGTCTTTAATTAAAATAATACCTACTTGAAGGACCGTGGCCCAGCCACCAAAAGATCTATTTTCCCATCCTGCACAGGAAGAAAAACCAACTCTTGCCTTATTTAAAAAAGGAAAAAAAAAAATCTTTCAGGCAAAAATGTTAGAACTACTTTGTTTATAAACCCTTTGGGGTGTGGTGTTTTAAGTGGTAGCATTTCAATGAATAGTTTAACCTGAATTTAGATTTTTCACAATTTACCCATAAGTTATCTTATAATTTACTTTTACACTTTAACCACATTTTAAAAATGGGAGCATGGTGTTTCAAGAATTATTTTGACAAACCTGGCTTTAAAGTGCTCAGTGTAAATAATATGCACCTCTGCTGAGCAGATGTGAGGACATGACTCTCAGTTTTAGTATTTTAACTTTTTTTTATGTTAACTATAATATGAACACTCAGAAATTGGGGGATTTGTCTATGACCAATTTTATTTACCAGCTAGTGTAAAATATACACCAGTTTCTTAAGGCCTTGTGTGTTTGGATATTGTGGGCCAGATTGGTCGGCTGGGGGTCTGGACATTGATTCTCATCACTCAGACCACTTCAAAAGTGTAAATAGAGACTCTAGAGAAGTCGTTATATCACTTTCATTTTCAATACTGAAGATGTGTGATCAGACTACACTTATGTAAGGGATCCCCCCTTTTGGTTCTCACACACTCATATCCTAGAAAACATAAATATTTGAATCAAATGCGGACTGCTGACAGTCCTACATGAAAATGTGGCTTTTCCTCTTCCACTTGGGCTTTGTCTACCCGGATAGGACTAGGGAAAAAAAAAAAAAAAAAAAAAAAAAAGGCCACTGCTTAGTACATTCAGGGGACACCCCCCAACACACACACACCAAAAAAAAAAAAAAAAAAAAAAAAAAAAAAAACCACTACTGACTGAAACCTAGGCCTAAATTTTCTAAATGTTTGTCACTTCACATTGTATTTGTGTAATTATCAGGGGCATGCCAGGCTGAATACCTCAAGCTCAGTAAAGCACATCACAGTTACACTCAGTGAATAGCTACGGAAGTTATCTTTATTGATTGCTTGATGTGTAACAATAATTGGCATCTTTTTCACACATTACAAAAATTATACTTGGCTCAGTATGCAACCTTTTAAGCATAGCCATATTATTTAACAAAGGGGGGGGGCTACTCTACCCAATACAGCATTTACAAATGCACAAAACCTGCCACTTTGGCTTGTATATTGTCTAGATTAAAAAAAAAAATCTCTTTTTAACATAAATAAGTTAGTATAATTTTCAGTGTCTTTACAGGGTTATATACACAGGCACACTTCAAAGGTTCTCATACACAGGCAATGAAGAAATACTGTTTAAAGATGTAGTATCCATTTCACTTATTCTACAAGTGTGCTTTTTCTAAAAGCACACCCCCTTTTTCCTTTAAAAACAGCGATTTCCTTGGGGTAAATTAACAAGTAGGATGAGAAACTTTTAATTAAAAATTATTTCATTATTTGTGTAAAGTTACAGACTTCTAAAGATATCCAGGGATTTAAGACTATTTTCAATGTCTCTACACAGCTCAAGTGAAAAGAAAATAAGAAATTTTCTCAACAAATATGGTGTGAAATGGTCAATTCTAAGAATTTAGAATTTCCTGTCATGCACACCGGATTTTTGCCTAGTATAACCTGGAGTGATTACTGTTGAACAATTAACTGGTAAATCCCAATTTTAAGGCAGGAGGTAGGGGAAAGGATAAGGTTTCTTTCTTTTTTTTTTTTTTTAAACCATTTGTGGCTACAAATCTTCAGAACTCCCAAATAATAAGCGTCATGTAAAAATAAATAGCAACTATATGTAGCAATTATTCAAATTTTGGTTATTTTAAAATAAAGGATCAGTTCTTACTGAAAGGGACACTACATCTTTAAAGAAAGCAATTCAAACCCTTCCCCCCACCTACGTTGCTTCTCTTCATGCAAGTCAAATATTTTCTCCTTGCTACAAATTGAAGCAAGTTCTTCACATCCCCCCCCATCCATGCTGATTCCTCAGCCCCACCCTGCCCTCCCATCCCTAATGTTTATGTGCTACATAGTAAAAGATAAAAACTATATACACAGGTAGTACAATGAAGCAAATAAGGAAAAACCTAATTGCGCAATGCTACATCCAATGCTTTTAGAGGCAGATGGTTTAAGAGTGCCTAAAATTTTTAGTGTTATTATGTTGCTGCTTTCTCAGTGCTTATACAGGATGTCCATTCCATGGAGTCAGCGATATGTATTTAAATTTTTTCATGTATATCTTCCTTGCTTCATAAAGCAGTGATGTATCTAACAAACAAGGAAATATTCTTAATTCTGCAAAAGAAACAAAAGAATTAGGGAGAAAGCACTAGAGTAACATTGCCAAAGTATAAGACTTATTCTGTTACTATCTTAGTTGACAAATACT